GTCCCTGGTGACCGCCTAATCACTAACCAAGGTCATGTCGTGTGCTTTTGGGAAAAAAAATTCAACAAGGAAAGCAAAATTAAAGTAAGAGAGAAGAGCAGGCGGTTACCTTAGATTTTAAAGGTACTGTGAACGCTTGAAAAAGTCTTGGCCCGCTGTAGAAACAGACTGACAAGTTGAAGGCGGCAGGTGCTTTTCTCAGAAACAGACAAGTTCTTTCCAAAGTCAAAGATTCTTTGTCAGAAAATATCTCGTGAATATGCAAAAATGAAGGAAATAAGAACCTATTTAAAGAAGGGTAAAATCAGGGGCATCCTTGTAATTTCCCTAGAAGGCGAACGGTTAAAACTATCCACCAATGCCTGCGTGACAAGTGTCAAATGGTCAGGTGGCACGCCACATCACCCCTGTGAGGGGCAAATATTTTGGGTAAAAATACCCAGGCCACGTGGCCTAATCGGAAGGTGACACGTGTCACCTTAGGAGAGGTTCTATATGAACCAATCCCCCAACTGACACGTGGCGCTTCCAATCATTGGGAAAAATACGGCCTTTTTGGCCAGTTCCCTCGGAAGCCCACGAGTCCTAGGTTTCCGTAACCTAGGACGGAGGCACAAATCCCCATGTCCCTATAAATAGGGAGATACGCATTCAATGCGGGGGGGGGGGGGGGGTGGGTGGGAGACACATTCACATTCAGATTCACTCTAAAACAACGGTAGTCAATGATTGCGAGATAATTAATTCTCACATTAAAGAACACCTAATCTCGGAATCTGAGAGGATACCACTTTACTTTTCGCACCTTTTCATTCACCATACACATTCTAACTTGATCGTCAGAGGCGGGAACTCCACCCAACCGGAGTCTCCGTTGTTTTGCAGGTATAGGCACCCGGAGTCCAGTATAGGTGTTGTAACTCTCCCGAGGGACATAGAAAACCCCGAAAAAAAAATATTTTATCGTGTGGATCATAAGTTAATTATAATTACAATTAAATCTAATAAAAGTTATGGTTTTATATAAATAAAATTGTTTTAAAAAGTGTAACATATTTTGTTCAGTTCCCAAAGTGCATTACATTAAATACTAGTTTGAAATTAACTTTTTTGAATGGATTTATATATTTATTTATAACCCAGTTAGATTAGCTTAAGACCCACGAATTCAAAATTTTGAAACAACATATCAACGTATTCTTACAAACAAATAGAGAATTTAAATTTGGTTAAAGCAGCTTTTAATTCTTCTCGAAATATTGGTGCTTGGGAGACGATTTTTTAAGCACATATTTTCCCACATATGTCCAACATATTTGACTTAATGAGAATTCAGATGATCAGCAAATATTGGCAACAACAAGCTGCCTTACGAATCAAAGAAAATCAAAATGTAAATTGGAGTGCATTGGAGAAGATTTATTGTAAGGGAGACAAGTCATGCACTAAAGTCCACAAGAACGTTGACAACTTGAATGAATGTCAAGATTGTGCATGGTTTGGAATTTGGAGGAAAAACATGTTCAAGAAGGCTAAATCGTGTTACATCAAAAACCATGGTGTGATGTTTCGACACACAGAGGATAATAGTAGGTCATGGATGAAGATGCTAAATACTAATGATTACAAGTAAACGAATGTAGACCCCCTACTATAAGATATTACCAAATTAGCTGATATTTGAATATTAATTATGTTATGTGAGAATTATTGTTATGTGTTTTGGTCTCATACGAATGTAATGTATTATTAGCTATACTATGAGTTAATAGCCACTACAGTGTTATTGGAAACCATTTCACATTTGTACAATAGCTTATTGTTGATGACATACATTAATTAATAGATTTAATATTATTATTATTATTATTATTATTATTATTATTGATGTTACACAATTTTATTATAATGTCATTAATAATTTACATTTTCTATTTGATCTATTATTTATATTAAAATTGCAATAAAGCCTTTAAAGATATTATTTAAATCCTTTACTAATATAATTTAAATTGTAACACCTCCAACACCATTTCAGTACCCAAGGCACCTTTGTATTGGCCAATAAAAACTCTTCAGTCCTACTTGCTTTTAAGTTCATACATTCATCATTTATATTAACATAATGTTTTTTTTTTTTGTCTAAGATCTCTAAAGATTACGACATTGGTAATAATCTTCATGTAATATATCAGTAGAAAATATTGATGATGATAAACATGTAGAAAATAAGTAATTACCACAACATTATTTCATATATTAATTGACATACACAATTTTGAAAGAACATTGATTGATGTTCACTTACAGTGCTAATAGCATGTAACATAACATAAGAAAACCACTACATGAATGGATGATGTGCTGGGTCTATGTCTTCCTCATTAACATAATATGGGAAATGCCTCATCCTACCCGACAGGAGCAGCGCATCCCTCCAGCCCCAGGACTCGTCGTTTTCGCAAATGTGACCACCGTGAGTCATCATAAAAAACTCAACAGCATTTCTTGTTTAAAGACTGAAATTTCAAGAGGTACCCAATATCTGGGATCTTTGGCAAGATGTGATCCTTGAATATTTCATCCCATGCACAAAATTCACTAGCATCCACTAGTGGGGCAAAAACCCTTTTATGTGAATGCTCATTCTTAGTGTTAATTTTTAGATATGTGGTAAATGTTAGTCATATTATGGTAGGACATGCATATATATAGTCATATAATTGACAAATTTGGAGGGAAATTTGAAAGGTCCTACTGGTTTTTCCCTCCAAAAGTAAATATCAAAACACTTAACCCTAAACCCTAACCCTAAGTTCTAAACCCTTAAGCCTAAACCCTAAACACTAATCACTCACGTATATTGTTATGAACACGAATATAAATTCTTCAACACAATTCCACAAACAAATCTGAAGTATAAGTAACGAGTAGCTGATTATTTAAAAGAGGTTTAAAATCAACGATGAAAGTAGGGGTGTCCATTAGTCGGATAAAAACCGAAAACTGAAATAACCGAAATATGAAAGAATAATTTTATACATAAATATTGTTAATTTTAGTCTTGTTATACTATGCTAATTTTATACACTACTAGAAATAGGGTTATTTCCGAGGGAAAGGTTCCGACGGAATGTAATTCCCTCGGAAAATTCAAATTTTCCGGCGGAAATTGACTTTGTAGGAATAATCCGTCGGAATAATTCGCTACCGACGGAATATTCCCTCGAAAATGTTCTGACGGATTTTATTTCCCTCGGAATGTTTCCATTCCTACGGAATATTCCCTCAGAGAGGCTTCCGACGGAAATTATTCCCTCGGAAATGTCACGTTCCGACGGAAAATTCCGTCGGAACCTGACATTTCCGAGGGAATAATTTCCATCGGAAGCTGAGAACAATTAAAAAAAAAACGCATGTTTCTGCTACTGCTGCAACCCAGAACAAAAAAAAACGACAAAGAGGAAGAGAGAGAAAGGGAGGGTGATTCAAGAGGAAGAGGAAGAGATAGAGATAGAAAGGGAGAAGGAGAAAGAGGAAGACAGAGAGGATGCAGCCGCCGCCCCTCCGCCGCTGCACCGCCGCCGGTAAGTTCGCAATTTGTGGTTTAATTATTTTTTTTTTTTGGTGTCCGAAAAACCCTAACCACCACCTTTCACCTAGGGCTTACCGGAGTAATTACTAACAACCACCACCTTTCACCTCACTCGTCGGCGGGTCTGCAACCTCCACGCCCACCAACCGCCGCCGCCAGCAGGTAGTTTCCGTTTTCCCTCTTCTTTTTTTTTTGTTTTATTTTTTTTTTCTAATAAGTTCACATATATTATTATTTTTGAACTTATACAAAAAACAAGCATAAACTAAAAATATTAAATCATAAATGTAGTTTATACTTTTATTTTTTGTTAATTTTTTGTTTGGAATTTGAATACTTGTAGGTTTTGTAGATTGAATTGGTTCTTTGGCAATAACAAACTCAGATCTACAGGTTAGAGAGTATTTTAAAGCTAAATTTATAAATTTAGTTTATACTTGGCATAGATCCTAATGGTGTGTAGATATATGTTAGTTTATTATTGATTTTATTTATTGTATTTAAAAGTTGTTGTATTTATATTATAATTTGTTCAAATATTTGAAATGAATGTGTTTGTGTTATAATATGTTAGATTAGTTTAGTTTATTTAAGTTTACTTTTTAATTAATGTATTATAACACGTTATTTTAGTTTGGTTTAGTTTAGGGTAATAATGTATGCTAGTTTAGTCTATTTTAGTTTAGTACAATTTAGTTTATTTTAATTTAGTTTAGTTTATTTGAATTTGGTTTAGTTTTGGTTAATAAAGTGTATGTTAGTGTATTTAGTTTAACATTTATGTTTGATATAATGTTTAATATAATATTTAATAAGCGTGCTTATTTATTTGCTTAGTTTAGTTTAATTATGATATGTCTCTGTTTAGTTTAATGCATGTGTTCTTCACTTTATATATATATATATATATATATATATATATATATATATATATATATAATAAATGAATCATTTGCATAATCATATGCCTAGATACCCCGTTCAAGGCATACACATTAGGAGTATGTCTTGAATAGTCCCCGGTTGGGACTGTCCTTGTACGCTTATTCTCACTTAGGTGGTGAATGTAAGCCTTGTTTTTATTCTAGGGAAAATCCTGCCTTTTCATGCACTTCTCTACCGTGTTCTCTGGGTACATATGTAGGTGTGTATAATCGCCTACATCGTGTACTTGGAGAACTGTAGGGAAATGCTGGCGGATTTTCCATAGAATTGAAAACTTGGGTTACATTCACTAGTGAGAATAAACGTACAAGGATGGGTTAGGTTGGAGTGATAAGGACCCTTTGGAAGCATTTCAAATCTCATTTGCATTTCCATGACGCTGTGGTGGATAATGACTGCGAAATTCCGTTCATGACTAATGTGATTGTACATATGCGTGAGCTGTGTAGAAGTTGTAATCATGAAACGAAGAGAACGTAGCTGGATGTATAAAAGGACGATTGGGCAAAGTATTAATCCAGATTTCGTGAAAGGAGTTGATGATTTCATTCAGTACGTCAGAGATCATCCCGAGAGTAGTAATCCGGATGAGGTTAGGTGTCCATGTGTTAAATGTAAGAACAAACGCCTTTGGAATGCGGATACGGTTAAAATTCATCTGTATGACAAGGGTTTCGTACCTAACTTCTACGTATGGATGTGTCAAGGGGAGGGGTATCCGGGAGTTCCTGAACGGCGGTCCAATGAATATCATGACATGGTTTTGGATGCTTTTGGTCATAGTCAAGATCAGGGGCATTCCGAGGAGGCTAGTGTTTCATCAGAGGAGGAGCCTAATGCAACTGCTAAGCATTTTTTGGATTTGTTGAAGACTTCTGAAAGGCCATTGTACGAAGGGAGTTCTTTGTCTGTGTTAGAGATGGCCGCTATAATCACTAGTATCAAATGTGAGTATAATTTGCCTCACAGATGTGTTGATGGGTTTGCTTCTTTGCTAAGTGAGGCGATTCCGAACAACAATCATATGGCCGACACTTTCTACGAGGTGAAGAAGATTGTGAAGGGGTTGGAACTGTCCCATCAAAAGATTCATGCGTGGCCGAAAGCGTGTATGTTGTTTTGGAAGGATGATGCTCAGTTGTCTGAATGCAGGGTGTGTGGCAGCGACCGATACAAGAAGACTTCCAAAGGTAGCCTAGTGCCTTTGAATGTTCTATTTTATTTCCCGATCACACCCAGGTTGCAAAGACTGTTTGCAACGAAGAACATTTCGGAGGAAATGACATGACATTCGAAAAATCCCAGAGTTCAAGGCACAATGGAACACCTTAGTGACAGCGCAGCTTGGAAGCACCTCGATTGTCGGTTTCCAGAGTTTGCTTCTGAGCCTCGTAATGTTAGACTTGGCTTGTGTACAGATGGTTTTGCTCCTCATGGTAAGTTTGGGGGTCAATATTCTTGTTGGCCTGTCATTTTGACCCCTTATAACTTGCCTCCTCATGTTCCTTTCGTTGCTCGTTCCTGGTCCTAAAAAACCTAAGGGCAACTTGGATGTTTACATGCAGCCGTTGATAGAGGAGTTGAAACTGTTGTGGGAAGTCGGCGCGGCTACTTATGATATTTCAAAGAAACAGAATTTCAATCTTCGAGCAGCCATCCTATGGACCGTTAGTGACTTCCCGGCTTATGGCATGTTGTCTGGTTGGGCCACGGCTGGTAAGAAATCTTGTCCAAATTCCATGGATAAGACCAAAGCATTTTGGCTTGAACATGGTGGTAAAGTTTCTTGGCTTGATTGCCACCGACAATTCCTACCGACAAATCACCCTTTTCGGAACAGTAAAACAGCATTTTGTAAAAACAAAGTAGAGAAAGGAGCCCCTCCACACATCATGTCAGGAGAGGAGCTGTGGGAATGTGTTAAGGACCTTCCGAAGGCTACAGATGGACCTGATTCAATTAAAAGGCTGAAAAATGAAAATAAGGGGTGGTTTAAGCAAAGCACCTTGTGGGAGCTCCCATATTGGAAGCATCTCCTCATTCGTCACAACTTAGATGTCATGCACATCGAGAAGAACTTCTTTGATCAGTTAATTCACACTGTAATGGATGTGAAAAAGCTTACGTGTGACACCCCTTCAGCTCGGAATGACATTGCTAAATATTGTAAACGTCCCCAGCTTCATCTTCAAGAGGATGATAGAGGAAAAGAGGTAATGCCAAAGGCTCCATTCGCTCTTGACAAGGCTCAGAGAAAAGTTTTGTGTGAGTGGGTTAAACAGCTGCGATTCCCTGATGGTTACGCCTCCAATTTGAGCAGATGTGTAGATTTGCAAGCGTGTAAGCTCTATGGAATGAAAAGCCATGACTGTCACGTGTTCATGGAGAAGATGTTGCCCACAGATTTGAGGGAATTGCTCTTTGGCCATATTTGGAATGCAATTACAGAGATCAGCCAATTCTTCTGAGACTTGTGTTGCTATACAACATCAGTTAGTGACATGGAGCGATTGGAGAAAAACATACTTGAGATCCTCTGCAAGCTTGAGAAGATCTTCCCTCCTGTATTCTTTAACTTCATGCAGCAATTGCCTACACATTTGCCGTACGAGGGGAAGTTATGTGGTCCTGTACAATACAGGTGGATGTATCCCTTCGAAAGGTAAATCAAATACCCTTATTTCACATCCTTTATTTTACATCCTAATCAATTGTTCATGCAGTTACATAACAACTGTAATTGCAGGTTCCAAATGCGTCCCAAAACATAGGGACTTGTAGTTTTTTGTGATTTCAAGTCATGAACCCCTTAGAATACCTATAATAGACATGTTATGAGAAAGAAATAGGTCATTTGGTCGAAAACGTAGTAAATGGGTAAATAATAGGTCATATACTTCATAGTTTGTTCAATTTGGCTCCAAATGCGTCCCAAAACGTAGGGACTTGTAGTTTTTTGTGATTTCAAGTCATGAACCCCTTAGAATACCTAAAATATGCATTTTTAGAGAAAGAAATAGGTCATTTGGTCGAAAATGTAGTAAATGGGCAAGGAATAGGTCATATAGGCCATAGTTGGCTCAATTTGGCTCCAAATGCGTCCCAAAACGTAGGGACTTGTAGTTTTTTGTGATTTCAAGTCATGAACCCCTTAGAATACCTAAAATATGCATGTTTAGAGAAATAAATAGGTCATTTGGTCGAAAACGTAGTAAATGGGCAAGGAATAGGTCATATAGGCCATAGTTGGTTCAATTTGGCTCCAAATGCGTCCCAAAACGTAAGGAATTGTAGTTTTTTTGTGATTTCAAGTCATGAACCCCTTAGAATACCTAAAATATGCATGTTTAGAGAAAGAAATTGTTCATTTGGTCAAAAACATAGAAAATGGGCAAAGAATAGGTCATATAGGCCATAGTTGGCTTCATTTAGCTCAAAATGCGTCCCAAACCTTAGGGACTTGTAGTTTTTTGTGATTTCAAGGCCTGTACCACTTAAAATACCTAAAATATGCATGTTTAGAGAAATAAATAGGTCATTTGGTCGAAAACGTAGTAAATGGACAAGGAATAGGTCATATAGGCCATAGTTGGCTCAATTTGGCTACAAAATGCGTCCCAAACCTTAGGGAGTTTTATTTTTTTGGCATTTAAAGGCATGTACCCCTTAAACTACCTGTAATAGAGATTTTTAGCCAAAAAAATAGTTCATTTGGTCAAAAACATAGAAAATGGGTAAAGAATAGGTCATATAGGCCATAGTTGGCTCAATTTGGCTCCAAAATGCGTCTTAAACCTTAGGGAGTTGTATTTTTTTGGAATTTACAGGAATTTACCCCTTAGAATACCTGTAATAGAGATGTTTAGCCAAAAAAATAGTTCATTTGTATAAAAACATAGAAAATGGGCCAAGAATAGGTCATATAGGCCATAGTTGGCTCAATTTGGCTCCAAAATGCGTCCCAAACCTTAGGGAGTTGTATTTTTTTGTCATTTCTAGGCATGTAACCCTTATACTATCTGTAATAGAGATGTTTAGAGAATAAAATAGTTCATTTGGTCAATAACATAGAAAATGGGCAAGGAATAGGTCATATAGGCCATAGTTGGCTGAATTTGGCTCCAAAATGCGTCCCAAACCTTAGGGAGTTGTATTGTTTTGGAATTTCAAAGCATGTACCCCTTAGACTATCTGTAATAAAGATTTTTAGAGAAAACAATAGTTCATTTGGTCAAAAACATAGAAAATGGGCAAGGAATAGGTCATATAGGCCATAGTTGGCTCAATTAGGCTCAAAAATGCGTCCCAAACCTTAGGGAGTTGTATTTTTTTGGCATTTCAAGGCATTTACCCCTTACACTACCTGTAATAGAGATGTTTAGCCAAAAAAATAGTTCATTTGGTCAAAAACATAGAAAATGGGCCAAGAATAGGTCATATAGGCCATAGTTGGCTCAATTTGGCTCCGAAATGCGTCCCAAACCTTAGGGAGTTGTATTTTTTTGGCATTTATAGGCATTTACCCCTTAGAATACCTGTAATAGAGATGTTTAGAGAAAAAAAATAGTTCATTTGGTCAAAAACATAGAAAATGGGCAAGGAATAGGTCATATAGGTCATAGTTGGCTCAATTTGGCTCCAAAATGCGTCCCAAACCTTTGGGAGTTGTATTTTTTTGGAATTTACCCCTTAGACTACCTGTAATAGAGATGTTTTGCCAAAAAAATAGTTCATTTGATCAAAAACATAGAAAATGGGCAAAGAATAGGCCATAGTTGGCTCCATTTGGCTCAAAATGCGTCCTAAACCTTAGGGACTAGTAGTTTTTTATGATTTCAAGGCCTGTACCCTTTAAAATACCTAAAATATGCATGTTTAGAGAAAGAAATTGTTCATTTGGTCAAAAACATAGAAAATGGGCAAAGAATAGGTCATATAGGCCATAGTTGGCTCCATTTGGCTCAAAATGCGTCCCAAACCTTAGGGACTTGTAGTTTTTTGTGATTTCAAGGCCTGTACCCCTTACAATACCTAAAATATGCATGTTTAGAGAAATAAATTGTTCATTTGGTTAAAAACATAGAAAATGGACAAAAAATAGGTCATATAGGCCATAGTTGGCTCAATTTGGTTTAGCTTATTTGTATAACTTACTACCTCGTTTGTTCCCTTTTATATGTTTATCTTGCAGGAGGCCTACCAAAAGAGGGTTGAGGCGGCTAGCACTCAAAGGACTCAGAAGAGTCCGAATGAGCTGTACTGGGAGACAGTGGGTGGTCGGAACAAAAAAGGACGTGTGAAGGGACTAGGCGAAAGTGCTGACATGTACTATGGAAGCCAGATAGGTCGCCGACTTTCCACCTCTTCCATGCAGTACACACCCTCCTTTGTTTCTCAGATGCAAGATCAGATGGAATCTAGGGTCCAGGCTATTCGGGAACAAATGGAAGCCGACATGGAAGCCCAAGTTCAAGCCCAACTATAAGCCCAAATGGATGAAATGGAGAAGAGGCTGGAAGAAAGGATGATGGGTTGTTACGCCAATGACCCATGTTCCAACGTGCGACCTCCATTTCGAGATCCCAGGGACGACGACCCGGGTTTTAGTGGAGCTGGCCAGGGCTCTCGCGCTGTTGTATAGCATTGATGAACTTAGTGGTTGTTAGTTGTAATTTTATATTAACTTAGAGTTTATTGTAAACATTGGAATTTGTATCTATATATATATATATATATATTTGCACAAATTTGTTCAGTGAGTAATATAATATAAGAAGCAGGAATCACAGGTTTGTACCGGAGGAAAATATATAGCCAAAATAGAAATTTATTTCTTCGCAAAGAAGAAACGTTCCGACGGAATTATAATCCCTCGGAAAAGAAGACCTTCCGACGGAATTATAATCCCTCGGAAAAGAAGACCTTCCGACGGAATTACAATCCCTCGGAAAAGGGGGTCTTCCGACGGAATTATAATCCCTCGGAAAGAGGGACCTTCCGACGGACTAAATCCCTCTTAATGTTCCCCACTTCCGACAGAAAATTCCCTCGGAAAGGTGGGGCCTTCCAACGGGAATTTCCGTCGGAACAGAGAATATTCCGAGGGATTTTATTCCGCCGGAAGGTTGCGACGGACCTCCAATTCTGGTAAAACTAAGGTTCCAAGAAACTAAAACCCGTCGGAAATTCCGTCGGTAAGGAAGTTTCCGACGGAAAATCCCTCGGTACAACCCAAATTTCCTACAAAGGGGTCTCCGACAGCGTGTTCCGACGGATTTTCGTTGGAAACTGGACTTTCCGACGGATTTTTAAGGTTTACCGATGGAAATTTTCCCTCGTAAATCAGCTGTTTTCTAGTAGTGATAATAAATCTAAATTTCGGATCGGATTAGATTTGGGCTTAATCCAAACCAAAAGCTAAATGGACACCACTATATGAAAGGAAATAAACAATGAGAATATTTAAAATACAAGTTACGATTAACATTACGCAAGATTGAAGACGTATAATTATCGAACAATTTTGTATCATATGGAAGATTAGGACATGATAATTGGACCTAAGTATTTTAAACCCACATCTACATTTCAATCATAAGTTTAACGATTCATAAACAATCAATATAAACTGATATTGGTGATTATAAGGGTAAAAACTACGTTAGTATTTTTAAAAATTAAATTTTGCTTCACAAACACTATACATTTTTTTTTTCCACGAAACTATCCACATATTTAAAAAAAGAATACAATATTTTGCTCTATTATTCAAATAACAAACGATTAGCCTAGTATCTATCCTAAAATTTGGTCATAAACTTAAATCTAAAAATTTGCATTATTTTAAAGTAAAGTACATATCAAGCAAATGGTAACAATTGGATAACCAATGTCAGGGTTTTGTTTCCTCGAAAATAACATATAATAATGAGTTACAGGCTTAATCTTTCTCACCACTCTATTATAAACTATTTTATTTAAAAATCTTTACTAATACTTGGAAACTAAAACCCTCATTTCCGGATATTCATTTTCAATATTTTTTTTTTACAAAATTTCAATTAAAAATAGCACCAATATATTCACGTAAAAAAAAAATTTGTGACTTGATGAAAAATTTGAAATAATAATAATGTTTACAATGAATGACATGATAAAGTTATTTCATGCATAAGATTCTATAAATTACTTTTTGATTCTATTGTAAATTCCCTAAACCCTTAAACCTAAACAAAATGTGTAGTTTACCAAAAGAATTTTTAACCAAATCAAAATAATGAGATTATGATGTAAGATGGACTAATAATGTTTTACATCAAATTTACTAGACCCTCGTGTTACAAAACTAATGTATGGAAAAAAAAACTTAAAAATTACAATTCACATAATGTTTTCATATTATAATGTTTCTCTATAATCATTTTACGTGTTATGCACAAGAATAATCGTTCTTGAACACAATTCCACA